TGACAATATTGGCGAACTCGTTCAGTTTGGACAGAGCGACTAAATTGAGCCAGGTCATATCAGTCACCCATTTGCCCGGTTTCGGGGGGACCAGTTTCAAATCCAGTGCGGAGCCCCCCTGTTGTATTTCATGAATGTGTGAGTGAGTAATGGACAATAAAAGGGGTATGACATTTTCAAGTTCGATTCAATGCACAGAACTATGTATATCCCGACGAAAGGTGCTGGACTATCATGTACTGTGGATATGAAACAATGATGGAAGAACATTCAAAATTCCGCATCTGCCCCCCCCCCCCCNGCCCCGGAAAAAAGTTGACAACAATAAACCGAACAACAGTAATGTTATCAACTCTTTTTTCGGTTAGTGACAACAGAATTGATCAGTTTATATAGTGAAATATATATATATATGTATATATAAAGAGGCACACTAAACTGGATTACGCCAATGCAACTCACGGATCAAATGACGCAATAAAAGAATCACGTCGTGACCTGAGAACGAACCAAAACTGCAATTAGAATGGACAACTCATCCTCCCGCTTCACTCCCTCGTACCAGTTCAACGGCCAACCGAGTCGAACGCAGTGAGAATAAGAGACGAAAATATTCGGTGGAGAAGAGTACATATATAAACGAACGGGTACAAGCAGAATACTGCCACTTCACAGGCACCGAGCATGTCACCTAGGCTGGTGATGAGACATTTGCAAAAAAAGTGCCAAGCTCGGTGAACAGGCGAAATGGAATTATATCTAAGAGTCACAATGCAAACAGTTCAGAAAAATGAAAACCATGGGCGTTGCATGTAAATGGGTTGCGGCCAAACCGGACAATCGATCGGGGGCAACGAATCACTCAATACGGACAGTGCAATATTGAAGTCTGACTGACTGAAAGAAGTTAATGAAACATGCGTGTGGGTGTGTGCTTACAATCTGCATAACATTATGGGCACGTTCGATCAGCGATTCAGTCAATGGTAGAGTGATACTGTGCCTCGTGTGAACAAACCCACCTGAGAAGAGAAATCAACACGGGAGAAAATGTTGTGCGAATCGCCCGCTGTCCGTAATTCGTTTAATAGCAGTGGTTTCATGGATGGGGGGGGGGGCGTGAGATAGGATTATTTGACACAGATTGGAATTTTCGAATTGTCCAGTAGAACACACACCCCTTTGTAATTCACGGTGAACTGACAAGGTAGCATTTTCTATTTCAAATCTCTATTCATCAGTATAGCGCCTGGTGACAGCAATTCATACTACATTCTTACATGGTTCAGTTGTGGTCTGTGTGCATACGATTTTCTATCTATAACTGCTGAATATGAGATGTAAGATGTGGTTTCCAAGACTAAGTTGTCCTGCTATTTGTTCAGTGACACGATTAGCGTATCACAAGTAACAACAGGAATGCGGACAGAATCTTGATCCCAATTTGATTGTGATAGAGTAACCAGTCTGGTAGGGTAAAGCTAATAACTAATCAGCGGTAACTCTATTCACACAGTTATAGTTGAGCAAAACATGTGCCATATAATAGAACTTCGGTTATTTAGGCACGTGTTTATTATAACACAACTGTTTTTCCGCACGTGATCGATGCGTTTTCTTCACCTACCACAGTCACGCCACTGTTTACCTTTTTTTTCAAGCTTGAAACAACGGAGATGAGAATGCACATATTGTTTCCTCTAGAGTCTGAGCAACCGGCTTAACATCCAACACCCACGAACAGCGTGCACTGTGACAGCTGTGTAGAGTACATTCTCAACACGTGGGTGAACCACTGAAGACGATATAGCTAACTGATAAGTTAGAGGAGAGTACTCTTTGTACCTAACACTCACTAATGTATTAGTCTCATGTGGTGTCGTCATCAAATGCGATCCGATTCGCAATTTTTGGGACAGAAAAACCCTGAGTATTTTGAGTGACCAATTTGAAACACTTGTCTTAGCTTTCACCATCAGTAGAATACGTGAGCTCCATATTCATACTGTTTACTTGTAGTAGCTGGTAACCAAATCAGTGGACTTGAAGTGACGGACCTCACAAGACCCCCAAACGACAGGGATGGGAGTATTGAGCCAGACAACAACAAAGCTACCACCAATAAGGTGTACGCTCCAAAATGGGGCTCGAATCAAAGACTTGAAAGTCTGCTGAGCTTCGGAATGGGTTATTTGGACCCAAAGGATTCATTAAACAAAGAGTAGAATACAGTCCAAAAAACAAAGCATAAAACAAGGTTGTGAAAGGAATAGAACACGGTACAATAACACATACTCACATTAGGCTACTAGGCACTCACCTGAATGAATGTGGTAAATTCTTCTTGACGAATATTCTTTCGTTGCAAATCAATACGCAAAGCTAACATCAGTGTGGTCATGGTACGATCCATTTTAAACATTCCACGAACCGCAAATGCCCATACAGATCGCGTCATGTAGTTAATAATATTCATCACACGTTTCGAGGTGACCGGACATGGTTCGGAGCAGGACATTGATTTGTCAAACAGACGCAAAAAACGATTTAATCCGGTATGATACATCGGATTCACCCCGGTCAATTCGGTAATGAGAAAATACAGTAGTGAACCACGTGCAGCGACTGGACGAAATTCCTCTCGGGCAGCCGTAATCTCTGCCTCTGTGTCCTGAGCTTGAGTCAATTGTTGAGCCACTTCGATAGAAGTAGATTTGGTTGTCTGCAGCACATCTACCAGACCCTGATCGTCCACCAGGGAACCTTCAGTATTTGCCAATCGATAGAGTAAACTGTTTTCCAATTCAAGTATACGTCTTCGATTGGCCGTCGTACTTGCAATCAGGGAGAGGCGTTGATGTTCAAGATCCTGGAAGTGTTCAAAATGTAAATCATTTAAATCATTGCATTAAGTCGAAACAAAATGCTAAAGCAGCTCGATAAGTAGTTGTGTTTAGGACTGTGTGACATGGGATTGATCTTTCCGTGATTCACGAATATTTTTAATGACAGCCACTGTTCGGTGACCTTTGTCCCCAGCTGGGTTATTGCAAATCGAAATAATGCAGTAAAATTGTGAGCCAATCAGAGTTGATTACCGGTGTCTTGTACCATACATTCCGCGCACGATCAACAATTGACGAAATCATCAGCCAGTATGCCAAGATCACACCCCTACTGAATATTCTTGGAACAGAGGAAAATTTGGGGCCGGAAAATGTCGCCTATTGTCCTACTGGCCCGATTTTGATAACGGACAAGATGTTGGTTAGTTTTTATTGTTCACTGCTTCACACATATTGATTTGATTTCGTTTGATGGCCTATCCTCGGAACCTCGAGACAAATTCCACAATTATTCCCCGATTGTGTTTCTTTGTCCAGTTAATTAAGTTCGGAATTCGATACATAAAAAGCTAACAGTTTGTAATTATCGAAATTTCATTCAGTGAGAAATCTGTGAGATGCTCACATCTAATCCAATTTGTGAGAGGCTAGGTACTTCAATGGAATTGGGATTAGTGCATGCGTGCTACTCTAGCTTCCGATCAGCGTACCATCTACCGGCTATGATAAATAAAGCTTGTTCGGAGTCAATGTTTCTACTAGCAGTAGACAAATGATCACATGTATTGTTTGGCTATCCGAAAAACCTCCAGACCAGTTTGAATTCTGTAGATTTAATTTTCGTGTATTGCTTACTGTCATCGACTCCTACGAAACGAAATATCTATTCTCAATCTATTTAAAAAAGAAATGACCTAACAAGAACAATTACAACTCCTCGTTGAACTATCCTCAGACTATTATGAGAAGTGTGTGTTGTTGCATTGGCACCAAGCTTGCTCGCATGCCGGCAATATATATGTATATATCCAGGTTGGAAGCAAGCTGGCTTAGTTAAAATATATATATATATATATCCATTATTCCATTTTGTATTACTTTAGCAGCAAGCAATAGAACATAGATGAGCACCAAATGGCGATTCATACAACAACTCATTTTAACGTCACATTCGAGTGAGAATCAGATAAATCAACCTGAGGCTCTTATTACATAATTATTGCATTCAGCTCTTTATGAGTAAGATTCACCTATGAGGATAACTTCATCAGTAAACCCGCGCGAGGTAAACGGTGCTTGACAGATTTTATGATTTGTAGAGATCCCTATCTCTAAAGTTCACTTCTTGGATCTGGTCTACTGACAGTATTCCGCCCACATACAGACGTTTTTGTTCTTAAAAAAGGATTATGGTACCATGATTTGTTTGGCTCACGGTCTGACTTATGATATACATACAAACACAGCACTGTCTGTCTCTGTTCGCGAGGTTGGACAACAGACATTGAATTAAATTATGTTTTGGAATGCACCGCTGTTTTTTTTACTCACAACAAGGCAATGATGTGGGTTTTAATAAAACACATATCGAGTAACTGACTAGGTCCACGTGAACCACGTCAAACACGCTCACCTCTTTCTCGGTCTGAATCACGCGTGCCAACAGCTGATCCTCAAGACCTTGCGATGTTACCGTGAAATCGATTATGGACGCACGTGCAGACACCTCGGGTGGATAGGCCGGATTGGGTAGTTTGGTGGTCATGTACAGAGTGAATCCTTTTTGCAAATCTACCTCTTTATCACCGACTTTCACTTTTAACCCAGTGCCAGACTTGAGGAAATTTTTCTCCAACACTTCATCCAACGACGGATCCAATTCTTCCCCGATATCTTCAATAAGCAACGGACGTCCTTGTGACAGTGCGTCTTCCAAATGTGTACGGAAATATTTGTGATTGAGTGCAGTCACCTAAGAGTGAAACAGATTGTTTNAAACAGATTGTTTAATGCGGATACGCGTTGTAATCAGAGCGCTATGAATTCACGGTGAGTAGTTAAATTCGACTCGTAAAATCATTCATCCAAAAATAAAGGGCTTCGAAGTTCGAAACTGACAAATTGGACAAACTAACTACAAATGGACTAAGTTGAGAGAAAAACGAACAAGGAACAAAGTTTTCGTGCATCTCTGGATTTGATCGCTAATTACTGGAATTTTTAAATTGACATTTGAAGGTAAAGAGTAGTAGCTGTAGGAGGAGTGAATCCCTATTCAACTGTGTGAACTGGCGATTTGGAATAGCCATTCCCCAAGGCCCCCGATAGAACTGTGCTGAAGGACAGCGAAGCGCTCTATCACCTCTGTTGGTTAATGGTGGTGGGATTTGAACCCTGGATATTAGGACTCACAAGAAATGTGGGAAACTGACGAAAACCGCTTAACCGTGATCACCAAAAGCCCAGTAGGTTTCCCAGACTTTAGGTTGACAGTCTAACCAGACTGACGTATTTCGTTCCCGTGATCTAAGTTTTCTATACATTTGTCTTCAGTCAATCTCTGGAGATGCAATACCACAGGTGTGTTAATTCAATCATATGAAATATTCTCTTTAGTCAGGATACGACAGAACTGATGTCTCCATCACAGTAGCAAAATACAGAAAGATGTTTTTGCTGTCATAGCGATAGTCTTTCTTTCGAATCCATCAGACTGTCATCACGTCCGTCAATTATATCGGTCATCTTACACATAGTAAATTCTTGTGTCGTTGTCTGAATCAATAACCCCATCTCACTTAACACTGGCTGTATGTGACCTGTAATACCATACCATGTTCGGCTTGCATTTTGTACGCTCAAAGTGTAAAATGTTGCTCCAAGATTGGGTTGGTCCTGCACCCAGTCTCACCCTGGCTGGGGAGTAGTAGAGGAAGTGCACAAGTTGTGCTATCTGGGCAGCTATATCTCACCTGGCGGACTCGCCACGGATTAAGTTTCGGCGCGCATACGAAGGCTCGGCTGGTATTCGCTAACTTGAGACATGGTGGAGACGCTGCCGCGACCCCCGCTATCTGTGAGGGGTCGAGTGTATGCGGCAGCAGTTCGGCCAGTTCTGCTTTACGGTGCAGAGACTTGGTCACAACGAGAACAGGATAAAAATAGATTGCCGGTGTTCGAACTCCACTGTATACGAAGCATTGCACGAGTCTGGTGGGGTAACCGGACGAGCAATGCTGAGGCTAGGCGTAGCGTTGTAGGTAGTCGCAGTGGTTCACTGGAGCAAACAAACAAGTGACCGACATCCATAAAATTACGTTGGTTGAGGCGTGTCACGCATGTCACCAAATAAGTTGCCACGGCGAGCGATGCTGGGCGAGGTAGTGGTGGGAAAAAGATCATATGTGGCCAAGCGAAGACCTGGCATGTGGGTTTGAAACCCTAACCAGGAGACTAGGTCACATAGGCCTCGTTAAGCTCCCTGGCTGGGGGCCCCGAGATGGTAGTCACCGATGGTGTAAAAATCAGTGGCGCTTGTGCATTCACTCATTATTTCCCTAACACCGCTCTATATGAATTCTCCATCTTCCACTTGTACTTGCTCTCAGCGTTCCAATTTTCATCTTACTCTTGTATTCAAATGGACGGGCAAAAGACAGCAACCAAAACCCGCGCACGAAAATGCATGGTTAACGGTTGTAAAAGCTGAACTGAACTGAATACCACGAATCTGCACAGGTTAGACGGCTAACGAATTCGGAACAGATAGATCATAGTGTTGTGAGGTACTACTCACTTGTGAGTAGTAGGTAACGTAGTGGTGATTAGTTTCGAAGATCAAAAATTAAGAAGACCACCGAGGGCAACTTGGTGTATCACAGAGAATAACTATCTTGTGCTAAATTCATTAACCGTCATGCGGCAAGGAACTGCGATGTTATGTTTCTGATGAGATTCTCAGTGTTATGCATTTCAAATTGCTGATGTCCCATCTGTTGTCCTCAATAACGAACGATCCTCGACCGAGTACCACCTACTGTAATTATAACAACATTACTCTGGTAGAAATGATAGATTCGCTACGTTCTGTATCATCAATGAATTTATGTCGCTAACTAGATTGTAGTACATCTTTGTAGGTGAATCGTTCATACTTACCCTATGTTTGTAGGCTAAACACACAATTGTTCGACTGTTGCTGAGTCGATGGCTGAGAAAGGTTATATCGGGGTTAATTGAATATGTTCCGTATGTGTCCTCTCTGGCTGCATGTCACCTGGCGTTTCGGAAACGGCACGTACAAAGCAGATGTTAAGCATAGCGTGACAGTCATTGATTGATTGATGGGTTGGGTAGTGTCAGAATGATCAGTCACCGGAAAAACACAATCGCTCCACCAATCAATCACCATAATTACATCACGACGCCTGATTCCTCATGTGGAGGACAAAATCACTGCACGAAATGTTTTCAACACGTATCAAAGAACTGAATTTTGCCCGTCTGTGTGGGCATTCGATGGTCAAGCAACAATCGCTTCAAGGAATCGTACGACAGTTTAGAGGCTGATACAGANGATACAGAATAAGTGATATCCTTCAGGAGAGAATACAGATCTCGACCACCTGCAGTAAGGAATTGTGCTGATTGACTGTGCTTAACATCCTTGTGAATATCTCATCACAGTTCGAACCACTCTACTCGTTCTTCGATCTCGAAAGGGTTGTTAGTCAGGTTCAGTTACTCCATTGTTGGCAGGTTCATTATGCGACGCCAAACTGTATCGACCGGAATAGACCGAAATCACTATTTATGACTCAGGAACCAGGAATCACAGTCACAGCTGAATCCCGGAATCGCACTGGCAATCATCTCCCAAACTTTTTTGACGCGGGGATGCAGGAAAAATGTCACATAAATATTGATTTATTTACTGAAGGAAAGCAAAGAGATTTATTAATATAGACAAAAGAATTACATTGGTGAATCAGACATTAACCAACTGCCATCCAGGTTCTGGTCGTCGTAGGACTCTAGTTTGAACCGCTTGGCCTTTGATTCGTTCAGACTGTTGGTTTCCAATTCGTTGCCTTGGAACGCTAAGGCGTGGCCCTTTGGTTGGCGTTATCTCGGCAGAACGAATCACCGCACGTTCTCAACCACCACATCTATATTGGTTTGTATATGTCCCGAATCTTGCTCCTCTGAAAGTCGCCATCATATGATCGTCTTGATTGTTTGCTTCAATTGACTTGAGAACCGGTTATCTCGTTGCGTCTGGTGCACAAATGTCGTCAATGTGCACCACCAAGCTCCCAGTGAGTAAACTGATACAAGTTCCAAGTGAATAGTGCTCGTGGAGACACTCATCGATACGCCTCATCTTCCAGAACAAAATATTCGGCATCCATAGTGTTGAGCGGTTATGTTTGTATGCAAACTGATAAACGTCATGGGAGTGGTGCTGAGAGGTAACTGAAGATGATGCAGAACTGATCGCTCCCTCAATTTCAAACCAGTGAAAGTGAGAACAATTGAAATATTTCGCGATTTGGGCCTTTATCTTTCCTTTGGGAATGGGTGTAATTCTCACCGAGTGCCAGGAATTCGGAATAGTTCAGATTTGGAGTGAAAGATTAGCTATGTGCAAAAATGTGAGACAAGGTTATAACACCGTGTTTAAAAAGTGTAGGGCTTAAGTTATCTGGACTAGGTGAGGTCGACACCTTGAGAGAACGTATGTGTTTGTACATTTCACTGCAGGTAATGGGTTCAAACGAAGATGGTTTGCTCGAAGAACTTGAGTCAATAGAACTGTGACACGTGTGAAACGAAGAATGAATAAATGCAGTATTCGGTTGTTTAGTATCAATAGAAGAACTGGAGATCATTTTTTTCTATCCTTTGATTCCACCCCACATAAACTTACAGTTCCTTGTCCCAAAGAAACTTACTTGCATAAAGGGAATCTTATTTTACGCTTAATCAGAAAAGAAAGTCGTTGCATTTCAACCCTCCTACCACACCTAAATGCACGTTGCTTTTCACGAAAATGTTTAAAAAAGGTATTGATATTTTATGATGCGGAAGGGACAAAGTTATTACAGGACAGCGAAAGTTGGAAGCACGGTTTAACACGTCTGTTAGAAAAATCAAACTGGACAACCAGATGTTAGAACCCTGTTCGGAAGAATCCAAACGCACTGCAGCACCGATATACTCAAGAATGAAGAAGAAAGATACCTCGTCAAAGTGTTTGCTCGCAATGGCTACACCCGCAACTTCATCAAAAGAACTCTGGCTTAAAGAACGAAGGAAACAACAGACGAAGCCTCGAGAACAAGAACCACCCTGCCGTACACCAAGGACGTTTCGGAAATGACAGCAAGACTGCTGAGATCATATGGAATCCAAGTCGCCCACAAGCTGATCGCCTGTCTATGAGGAATTCTTTTAAAGTCCAAGGATGGTGGAGAAGGACAAGAGTAGCGTCATCTACAAAGTAGACAGCAAGAACTGTTCAAAACACTATATCGGACAAACTGGGAAAAAACTGTCAACAAGGATTCGTGAACACCAATCGGCAGTCAGGACATATGACCCACTATCGTTGATCTCCCTCCACGAAGATCAAGAAGGACATGAATTTGACCGCTAGCTATTCTGTTTCAACGAATGTTCGACCAAGCAACACTTCCGGAATCGTGGAAACTAGGAGTCATTTCGCCCGTATACAAAGGTGGTTGTCGTAGTGACCCCACTAACTACCGAACTGTAACCCTACTTCCGGTGTTATCGAAAGTCATGGAGTCAATTGTGGCAGATTAACTGATGGAACACCTCGAAAGATACAACATTCTTTCGACAGCTCAACACGGGTTTAGGCAAAAGCGATCCTGCACCACGAACCTGATTCTTGTTCGAGATGAATGGACCAGTACAGTCGACGAAGGAGATGCGATTTATTTCTACTTCTCGAAAGCATCTGATCGGGTGAATCACAAAATTTTGCTGCAGAAGCTCTATAATTATGGCGTTCGAGATTTCACGTTTGATTGGATTAAAGCATTCCTCGAATAAAGGAACACATCAGTTCATATTTCTGACTCCACATCCGGATCTATCAAAGCCATCTGCGGTGTTCCACAAGGGTCCATACTCGGTCCCCGTCTGTTCCTCGCCTTCATAAATAATCTACCGAAAGGGCTAGGCCAAAAGCCATACTGTTCACAGACGGCGCCAAAATCAGGAACACAATAACAGAACCCGAGGGCTCTCTAACACTTCAGGAATTACTCAACGCAGCTCATTAACCGTCTAAGGAGAACGACATTGAATTTAATGTTTCTAAATGCAAAGTCCTATCCCTACGCCACAAGCGAAAATTCTCCTATTTCCTCGGGGACCAGAAGCTACCACACAATTCTGGTGAAAAGGACTTAAGTATTGTTGTTCAAGAGGATTTAAGCTGTTCCACCAATTATGCTAAGGCTTTGTCCGCTGCTATGAAAAATATCGGCGTACTTCGGCCAGTCTTTGGTCGTTTTGAATCATCACTATTCCCACGTTTGATGTCAGTGTACATTCGACCCTACACAGAGCACACCACTCAAGTTTGGAGTCCATCGCCTCAACGTGATCGCAATATGCTTGAGCGCCCTCAAAGGATGGCCACCATGATGGTCAAGGGATTGCATTGCTTCACCTATGAAGAGAGATTACGATCATTGGGACTATATTCTGCTCAGTACCGCCGAAATCGGGGAGATTTGATTTTGACGTATCAAATACTTCAGAACCCAAACCATCCACGTCGATCGCTGCTCATGTTATCGAACAATGTACACCTTGGGGGACACCGTTTCAAGTTACTGCTTCCAAAGTGTCCACTGGAATGCCGGCATCAGTCTTTTGCAGTCAGAGTATGCAGTACTTGGAACGCCCTTCCATCTCATGTCGTTTGTACATCCACTATTGAATCTTTCAAGCAGAGACTCGATTAACCCTTGGCATATCTCACATTCGTACACCACTAAAAGCTAACGCAAATTCACTGTCCCTTATATTCTCTATTATCTCCTACCCGGAACTCTATGTGATTCCTTTTTCGACGTGTAACGATTCATCTGTGTAAATATCGTATGGAGACAAGAGAAGCAGGATCTTGTAAGTTATTTCCATAATAAAACTTTGACTTTAACTTTGAGAATCACCCGAGTCAATAAAAGAAACCGGGTGCATTAAAAGCTATCACCAACAACTTCGTTGATCCACGGTGTGACCAACATTAGCCTGGTTCATTAGTATGAAACACAGTTGAGATGGAATGTAGTGTGCGTGTGCGAATGAAATGATAAGACTAAATAACCGTGTTTGCGCGCACCACGTCGCACCCCACCCCGGTATGTCTCACATCAACCGAAATGTACTGCTTTGGAAAGGAATACAACGGAAATATGGATTCACATACACACTGTGCGGTTCCGTGTTTTGGATAGCCAACAGTTACACGAGGCAAATATGATCGTAACCCATTAGGGACTATTAAAGACCATGCAATACGATAGTGTTGATGACAATCATAAATGATAAATCGGTGATTTATTTATTTAACTAGATAGCGGGAGCATCGAAACGGACAGCTACTCACCATTCCGGAAGCCAAAATGTTATTGATATACTCGAGGAATCCTTCGTCTTTCACGTCCGAATCAGTAAAGATGAAAGTCACACCTCGACCGTCACAACCGGCAGTCCGATAGAGATTTTTCAAGTCTTCCAATAGATTACTCACATTGTACGAACTGAAAATATTACAAGCAGAAAAATTTCGGAATATAATTCATATTTTTCCGTCTTGGTCATCCCGAGTTACTTTCGTTTTTCTTGAGTCCGCCTGAACTCATTCGGATTCCAGTTTCTGATTTGTGAAGTTTACACTTGCACATACACGTACATAT